CAAACAAACCTATGAAATAGTCCTTTGGGTCTCGTATGTTGCCACTAACAGCGCAAAAAAAACAAGACGTGTTTTATACCCTCTCTTAGTTCTGAACAACCAATTCTTCAGAGGTCCGCAAGGGTCAAAAACACTTCTTCTGCGCTAATTCCCCTGAAACAACGAACGACGGTCCCCAAGCAACTTAACAGTATGTGTTGCCAGGATACGATATATATATATATGGGAGTTGATCGAAAACCCCGTGTAAGGAGTTTTATATAAAACAGCCTTTCAGATGTTGTTAGAACCATCCGCGAAAGATTCGCGATGAGGTTCGCGAAAGTATCTTTTTTTCCGCGAAAGATTTATCGAAGGTCATCGCTTTCATACGTTTTCCTTTCTAAGGGACTGACAAAGAATAGAAGTACCAGGCAATCTTCCGGCAGAGCCGGTGGGCGGAAGTGTCCCCATATGTCACAGACTAACGAATTGAAGCCTCAATATTTCCGTGCCCAGCCCTGGCAGTGCGTAAAGGATTCTCCGATTCCTGTCCCCACTGTCATAGACAAGCAACCTGAGTAGGCGCAGCCCTGACAGTGAGGCAACGACCTGCAGCTGCTCTGACGGGCTGTGCAGATGTTTGCATACGGCTTCCCCGGGAAAGCGCCAGTGAAATTTCGCGAAAGATCCGCGAAAGCTTCGCGAATGTGCCGCTAAAGTCCAGGTTCCCAGCTTGAGGCCCCCCAACATTCCCCAAGCTGCATCACCCTGTGTTGGTAGCTGGCACGAGGATTGGGTTGAGTTGCGCCACAGATGCTGCAAGTGACCCTGAGTAGCTGTGGAAACGTTCAACCTTCTACTGTGGTCATGCTGCAAGATGTCTGTCCCTATTTTGTGATACTATGACATGCTCCGGCTCATGTTAGCTAGACATGGTTGTAGGACCATGCTTCGTGATGAGGCCGCGAAAGATCCGCGAAAGATATCTTTTTTTTCCGCGAAGAATGGCCATTCCAGGATGAAAGAATATTGATCAACCACCATATATATTGGGTTCTTGTAGCAAATCATGTTGGTGTTGATTTTCCCAAAGCCCTGAAGTGTTATTCCTTGGCTTCCAGAGTGCGGACCGGGCATTGATGGAAGTCGCTTGCAGGGTCGTGCTCCCTACTACAACCAACATCACTGATGCCGAGAGAAACCCATCTCCGCGCCGAGTGTTTCGTTCGAAACCAAACTCAAACCAATCCATGCTATCCAAGTACCAACCCACGTGCACCTTTGCTCACGCGAAGCGTTCCTCGAGGCTGTATCCAGCTGGAACCTCCTTGATCGGGCTGGACCCCTCGGTGACTCCTAGCGGCTTCTGGCCCAGTCCACCAGGCCGAGTCTCGATTGGGTCTTGAGCGGATCGCATTCACATTGAACGTTCCCTACGAGACCTGCTAAATACTATAGAGTGCCAATGAACACCTTCATGACGAGGTTGATCCTGGTGAATCTATAAAGTCTAGATGCATTCAGATATTCAACGTGTGATACCGTATGATATCAAGATGGCTCTGGACAAGTGGCGACCAAAGTCAACCAAATACAATTGGTCTTGCCAATCGCTCGATCGGCAACGGCAAAACATGTTGCGACCATGACGTGTTTGCAACACGGTTGTCCTTTACCCCAAGGAAAAATGTCGAAAAAATTTATTGGTCATCATGTTGGTTCCTTAGTTTGAACACATTTTCCCAAGATTCACTGCTCTCAAGCGAACACCCATGTGAAAGATGGTAAAGAGACTTCACGAGCAATGTATATATATATATATACTGTACTCTGTTTGGGTGGGGCTAGAAAGTAGGTGTCCAAAACCAACAGGAAAAAGAACAGGAAAAAACAATAACTTGTTGTGAGGCTTTTTTGATTGCTTTGAGATGAAAGTGATGATGCTTGTTTGCCAACTAAGCAGCATTTGGTCTTGAAACGTTCGACGAGAGGAGTTCACTTCCGCGCTGTGAAGGGCATGGCTGAAGATTTGCCCTTCCCAGCTGGACACTTCGACGCAGTGGTGGGATCCTTGGTGATGTGCAGCGTCAAGGACCCGCAGATGATGTTGAGAGACTCCTGGATTGAAAGAAAGGACTCGTGTTGATCTCACCCAGTTGTATGTTTGGTCCGTTGCAGAGATTTGAAGCCGAGTTATATATTGTATTAATATATAATGGATTGCAGTCACGAAGCCAAGGAGATTGCGCGGGTGCTGAAGCCACAGGGGCGATACGTCTTCCTGGAGCATTTACATGCCCCTTCAGGCGAATGGACTTATCCGTATTGGCGAGATCTGGGTCTCACCATGGTCGTTTCATGTAAAGGTCCGGCCCACTCTTGCAAGTCCCCGCTCCACTTTGCGGGCCCATGTGGTATCCACGAATGGCCCTTTGTGGCCTCGGATCAATTCACTGTTGATATGGTTTGCGGTTGCAAAGACAAACCGTTTGAGCTGGCACCCTGTGGAACCCCTGGTTCTTTCGTGGCCAGTTGGATGATGCTGTTTTCTGCTTCTTCCAGTGGGCCACTGGAGGAAGGAGTTGGACTTGGTCTTCCAGGCTAAGCCTTAAGCCTTCCGTTCTCTGGTTTTGGTCATCCTAATAGCATCGAACACTGGCCAAACACATGCAGATTGGGAAAGCTGGATATGATATGGTGTGATTTCCTTTGATGTTCTTGAAGGGGTGGACTGCCCCAGAACGCAGCCATTCGCTGCCAGGAAGTGCGCTCCGTTGGCAACAGGAGGCCAAAGAAGATGGTCGCAGTGCCATGAGCTGCTTTGACAACCATACCAAGTCATACCAATCTACTGACGCCAACATGCAAGAGAATCTAGGGAGTGAGTGTTATTTGAGGAATACGACATCCCATTGTGTAGTGTTTTTTTCACGTCATAGAAAAATTGGGCCAACAATGACGGTCAGCGGCGAACACGTTGTCAACAGTCGGTTCGAGGCGCTGGAGCCATTGCACCGTCTTTGCTGTGGAGGTTGTAGACTCACCAGGTGCACCAAACAAACGAAAGACGAGACATGTGTGGAGAATCCCATGCCGAGACCAAGACCGCTCAAAGGAACCAAAAGATCTACTTGTATCAGACACACCGCAGACAAGACTACAACAATTAGTGCATTGGTGCTGGGTGGAGCCTTGAAATTAAGGCTTACATGAGACGATTTTATAGGGGAATGCAAAGACCCTGAGGGACCCTGAGAACACATTTCATAGGGGATGGCAACGGCAAAGAACCTTCACATGCTTCAAGTGCCATCTACTCTACCTCCAAAACTGCTTGAGGTTTCCCAAGAATCAGTCGATCCCTTAGGAGACAGCGAAACTGGTGTGGTCGTGACCAGGCAGCCCGATGCCTGGATCGCCGCGGCTGCCAGTCCCGGAGTCCCGGGAGCTCTCTTCACGAAGCTGCCAGTGATGACGCGCGGCAGGGCGTTTGGGGCGGTTGGGGAAGCAACAAAGGATTCGGATACGGACTGTGGGGAGCTTGGCAAGACCTAAACAGGCAGAACATCAGCACTTAAACATACTCAAACTGAGGTGAGTTACAACAGGGGAAGCTTGTTCTACCTACTCCTTAAAACGACATGTTTCATCATGTTTCATTGCACCACAGACTGCCTGAAGCACATGGTGTGTTCCGGCATGTTCCGGCAATGGTTCAAATGGCAACAAACAGAGATGATGTCACCAAAAGTGCTTGAAACACTTTCCTGGTATTTGAGACTCAGACCACCGGATGAGCTACTTGTTGATGCTCTTGTGTCCATGGCAACTTTCTTGTTGTTATGCCATTGTGGAAACCAAAATGGCCACTTGGGAAGTTTGACAGGTCGTCTTCCATGGTCTTCCCATGTCTTCCCTTTGGCGTCCGTAGAGGACATTTGATACCAGGTATTAGATCGGTACTTGCATTTCAAGTCTCGTTGCCAATGAACATCTTGCAGTCAGTCTTCTGGTGGAAGTTTCACGAGAGATCACGAGAGTATTTGTATAGGTTGTCGATGGTGAATCTTACGCCACTGAACTGAACTGCTATCCCCCAATTTTGCTTATCCTAAATCTGGATCATGAGAAGGGCTGTCGAGCGGCATCCGACCACAAGTCGATTGTGGTAAAGGCAAACCAGTTGCTCACTGGCAGTTGTCAAAGGTGAAATACTCGTGGCAACCGTGTACTCAGCTGCATGTAATGAGTCAGTCAAGGACATACCACAACTTCGCAAACCCTGTGCCGCCATAAGATCTACTGTACCTAGGATACAGGGCGACCAACAAAATAACTTGAGGAGTGAGGTTCACCCCGCTTGGACGATTCGACGATTCGACACTTTCACAGTTCATAGCCACTTTACCTCCTGGTGAAACCAAGAACTCACCAAGGAAGCACTACCTTTGTCACGGAGATTGGCCATGCACGACCAAGATCTTGGGTTATGCAGTCGTGTGATGCAAAAATGTGCCGAAGATTTGCTCACAGATGATTGGCGAGGTTGGCATAGCTTCACCAACACTCGTCATATTTCATCATGTTTTTTGTTGCAGTTGTTGGATCAACACGTTCATCACACCACAATGCAGAGGTGTTTCGATTCTGATGTCAAAACATACACGTGCTGTAAAAGGACATGAAACGACTGAGCTTGACCAAATCAATGAAGACTTAGGTACATACAGGAGCGCCTGTGTTGGTGGTTGTGCCATTCAGCAGTAAGATAAAGGGGGGGCGATACACAAGCATTCCTTCCCTTGTGTAGCTTGTTGGTTAGTTATCGATCAACCACAATCCATATCCTTCTATATATATACTTATACAGTTCAATATAGTTCAAACAGGTTTAAATAAACGTGTTATTTTCTTTGTGTGTGTGCTTCGAAACAACGCAGAAATCAACATGAACATCTCTAAAGGTGGGTCTTTGTGATGGCTCAAAGCCATCGTCACCGACCACGATCGTCTCACAGGCTTTGGCGCAGGTCATCATCCCCAAGGACTGATGACACGCACGGGGTCAACGGGTCAACGGGAAGAAATTGAATGAAGGAAAGGATCATTTTTTGGTGGAATGGATGTCGAATTGGAAATGCTTAGAATTGGGAGTCGGGCAGTCGGGCGGAGTCGGGAGTAAGATTTGTTTGTTTCGGTGGTGTGGTTGGCCTCCTGGGCGCCTGGAATCGAGCGACCTTGAGTAGATATGGACACTTCAATGATCTTCAATGCACAGTTGCCCCAGAACATCATTGCACTGTCGGGTGGATGTAGAATTGATGGTCATGGATGCATGTTGCTGGACCAACGTATCCCTCACACTTACTTTTCTGAGCTTGCCAGGTGGGCGAGTAGATCAGTAGTAGTAGATCAGTAGTACAAACTTAGTACAAGCTAGAGTCAACATCTTAGGTTTGGCATGGTTTGACTAGCTTTCAGCTCTTGGGCATGGTCCTGGTGCAGCTCAGGTTTGCCGAGAAACACTTGACCTTCTTAAGGGCGTTCCACTTGACCTGCTAGGCTTCCCATCTGCCCTTCACGAGTCGACGCGAAGGATTCCTTCCGACCCTCCAGGAGACAGACGTGGGAGTCGACGTGCCCCAAGCAGATCCAAGAGAACTACGCTCAGAACTTCGGGTCGGGAAGCCAAGCCATTTGGTGATGGGACTTAGGCACCTTAGGCCCACCATAGATGAAAGCCCCTTTGACTGAGAGCACCTGGAATTTGCCATGGATCACCATATCCTTCAGCGGACCAGAATCATGCACACTGGGAGACCATATGTGTTTCAATGTGTTTCATACCCTGAAAAACCACTTGAGGCCTTTTTAAAGAGTTGTTCCCCAAGTTGAGACACATTCATGCGAGGGGCTCTCTTGAGGTAGGAACCAGAGAGCAATGCTTCGAGGCTTTAGAGAGCAAGGAAAGCGCCCAGAAGTCCTTGCTGGAGACATCCAGGCGCCTGGTGTGGAAGTCTGGCTCAAAGGCGATTGCCAACAAAACATATCACCGTGCTCCAACTAGATGAAGATGTACCTGACAACATGGTTCGGAGCAGTATGGACATCCAGCGCATCCAGTCTCTATTTGGAGAGCTTATGAGAGCTTTTTAGTGGAGTGGAGACCGTTTTGGACGCTCTGTTCGCACTACCAGTTCACAGTGAAATTGGGGACCTGGTGGGGCTCAAGATCGTTTCTGTGTTGCATGGTGCTCACTACTTGATTGAAAGCTAAACCATATGGAAAAAACACAACTGAAAGCCACTGAGGTGAAGTTGCTGGTGCTGGATTTTGTTGCGGCAGTTGGACTTTGATCATATTCAACTGCAGGACATTTGACCAATATTGTGCATGAAAAGCAGCTACGATGATGTTGCACTACATCAAAGACTCGGAGACCAGAACATCAGATTTTTTTGGGACATTCACATAGGCCTGGGCCAAAAGACACCAAGTCCCAGTTTTAGAAACTCCTTGCTTCGGCCCCAAAAAGCCTTTGGGCATGATGTCCTGCCCCTTTGGAGTTCGTTGCCACGATCGCCCAAGGAATGCAAAACCGAAAAGCTGAACAAAAGGATTCACTCCCTCGCAGGCAACAAGCCGCCAAGTTGACCAAGGACATCGCCAAAGAGCGTCAGCGGATGGAGGAGAGCGGCGGAGTGCGGCGCAGTGTGGATTCCCGCGGATTCCGTGAGAATTGCATTCATCTCTCAGCAAAACCAGACCGATGGGTTTGTTGCTTGTGTCACAAAGACGCTGATCCGTTTTGGAGTTTTGGAGTTCAGAGACACAGATTGGCTTTATCATATTGTAGCATTGGTTGCCTGCGGGGCATCAGGAGACATGTTGGTGCTGGTGACGCCATGTCACACAGACATTGGTGAGATTCTTCCTCGGTCTCGTGGAGACCAAAGCCCATGGACTCACGGCGATCTTGGCTAATCTTGGCTATTTTGACATCATATAACAACTTGATTCACCCATCTCTTGTGGGGGGTACCACAATGTCCCTTGTTTAAATCTAAGGACATTCCTGGATCATCCCAGCCAAGCGGACAATCCATCCCCAGCCATAGCCCTGGTGAGCTTTGGTTGCCGCGGGTAGGAGCTCCACCGAGCACTTCGCAAGGCAAGACTCCGTTTTGGGCCGCTTCACACACATATATATATGCGAATGAAAGTGCAGCGATATGTATAGTGCAACATGTACATATATATATATATATGTACCATATGTACTTTGGCTCAAGGATCAAGCGACTAGAAAAGGTGCGATTTCCGTTCCGACGCTACGCCGCTTATGGACCGTCAGTGATAGCTTCAAACTTCGCTGATTAAGATCCACTCGCAATATATATATATATATATATGTTTTCTTCCAATGTTTTTCGGTGAAACCTTGTTTCACGACAAGAAGGGAGAATGATTGATCGATTTACATTGATTCATGTGCTGGACTTGCAAAGTTGCCAACACTAAGAAATCAAGTTGCTTCATTCCTGAGGGCTCAAGCAGATGTGGCGGATGTTCACTTCATTTTGTTGCGAAAAACCAGGCGGAGTCAACCAGATGTGCGATGTTCGGGCACCTTTTGGATGGAGGCTGTCCGTGACACGAGTCTTTGCAGCTTCTGAGGCTTCTGAGGATGCAGCCAGCTGTGAGGAGAACGAAAAGGCCTTGAAGGTGCTCAGAATTTTATAAAGTATAGTATGGAGAGAAGGAAGGTACAGTAGTTTTTGCAAGGGGTCTTTCAAGATCAGGTTTTAGTGTGCCTGCAGCTGTGCATGTTTGCACTTGTTGTTTCTAGTAAAAGTCAGAAGAAGAAGCCAAGCAAGTGAGCAGCAACGCAAGCCTGATGTATTTCTGACCTGACTGCCTGGCTGAACATCAAAGATAGAAAGACATTTGAAAGGAGTAGACTTACACGAACGAAAGACTTGAGCCAAGATATCTCTCTTTACCCCTCACGCTAGGTGGCCATCACCTCCAAAGGAGTGGATCCAGCCCGAGTAGGCACGGGTGCATCGATGCCAGAAACAATCCAGTCAGTGAAGGTCGTGAGTCTAATTGAAACTTGGTTTCCGGCGGACCTGATTTTAAGTGTAATGTGTCCAGCCAGGTTTCTTGAAAGTGTTGGCCTTTGTGCCTGAGTCTTCGGTTTCAAGTGTCTACGGAAAAAACGCCTCACATCGCTGCGCAGATGAAGCCGAGAAAGAGGCTGAAAGGGTGACAGAAGAATTGAGGAGCATTTATCAATGATCATTGATCATGGGCTGTGCAAGGTTGAAAGTCTAACAACTCAAAAGGAGCATTAGAGACAACGCCTTCCCATAGTATATGGCTTCCCACATTGTATGCATAGAGAAGCTCCTAGAGAGGTGTTCTGATTTTCTTAACGAAGAGAGAGAGAGACAGAGAGGAGTTTTCTTTGGCTGCACAAGATCCTTTGCTGGTTAGTTCGGACCTGCCACGCATCTTGGAGACGGCGGGACGCTTCATGTGGAGTGAAATGCCAACAGGTTCAAACGAACAGTTGTCATAGAACTCGGACATCTCATTTGATCTCACTTTTCAATGGCACATCAACACATCTCAGCACATGATGGACTCTTTGACCTAGACCTTCTGTGCTTTGTCTCTAGTGGGGTAGCAAAGGGGTCATATGGACGGTCTCAAGTGCCGATGTGCGACTCTTCGCCTTCAGGAGCGAATTGGCATCTGCAGAGGAGCGCCCTCCATGCTCTGGTGGGTGAACCGCCTTGCAACAATGCTGGTTCTTGAACTGGTGGGCGTTGAAAAGAAAGCAAACCAGGTATCAAACCAAGTCTGCACACAGGCAAGATGGCTGGAACAAAAAGAAATAACACAATGGAAATATCGGTCTCAGCCTCAGTCAATGAAAATCGTCCGACCACTGTGCAGAAGCGCAACACACTTTGTTCACATCGAACGCCCAGGAGAAGTGCCAAGAGCTTCGGTCCAAGCTCGCAGCGACCACCAAGAAAGGTGCCGAGGCCGCCCGCGTGGTCAACGGGTGGAAGATAGCATATCCACTTCGTTTCTTTTTTGGGGGGGACCAGCAGGCAAGGCGGGCGAGCACGTTAAGGGACAAAAGAATCAAAAGATGACTAATCTAACAAGCTGATTATGCAATATCATGAAACAAACATATTTCCAAATTAGTATGCACCAGTTCTGCTAGATCCTCGATTGATTTTTGTTGCCCAGATAGGTGCCAAATGCATGTTCACACATACATAAATAAATACAGCCTTCCTTACTTGAGCATCATCACATACCAACCCCTGCATCACATTTGGCACCTCATGTTATACCCATGAAGGAGGACCTGATGTTTTGTACTGGTGGAGGATGTGAAGGACCTGGAGCTCACTTTAAGCAGTGCTCGAGAGGATTTGCAGAGGAGAGCGGGCTTGGAACGGGATTTTGAGGATGTCCTCGATGTTTGGAACGGGTTGCTTCGTTTGAAATGGTTTGGTTTGACACTTGACACGAACTCTAGCGCCAGAGCAACACGGTGTTTTTTGCCCAACACTGGCATGGGGGACTTCCTCACTGACAGTTCCTTTGATTTGTTTCTTTCAGATGAGCAGTGCTGTTCTTCTGACCTTCACTTGGAAAGGGACACAAGCAACCCTACTAGAAAAGGTATAGGATATTGTAATAGGACCAAGATGGAAACTGCCAGGTACGTTGAGAGGATCTGGAGGTTTGCTTTGGATGTGTGAATGAACCATGGAACTTGGATGAACTCTAATCTCCAGGACAACAAAACCATAGTGTTTCCTAGGCCCTAGGCTGGTTTATAAGACCACAGGCTGCAACACCACTCCCATCATCCTCGGATTTCAGGAGCTTGGAACAGGTTCGAGAGGCCCAACGAGCGGAGGCGGCGACCATTTCGCCCACCGGCCGAGGTTGTCGAAGGAAGGAAGGTGAGAGAAAACGGCTGTGACGTCCGACTTCTCGGCGTTGAACCATCTGTGGCACTCTTTGGGACGTGAGATGCTTTTGACCGGCGATCTTGTGCAGCGACCGGAGAGAGAGAGAGAGACAGAGAGAGAGAGAGAGACACTGAGGTATTTGGGATGGTTGCGTCATGGACGGGTGACCGGAAGACTTGCCTATCCTTTGTTGCTCAAACATGCGATGTTGCGAGGACCAATCAATATGGTTCTATATTATTCTATTGTCACGTATCACGTATCTAATCACGTGAAGAAAGGTAGAAAAATGGGATATATAGCATGTGCATATGTTTAAAATGCGGTTCGTGCTCTTGAGCCCCATTTAATTGACAACGAGATGTTGGTCACAAAAATGATCTCAAAGTCAGGATTGTGGGGACCAAGAATTCAGGCACGACACTTGCAGGACAGTGAGTTGGATTGAAATATCCTTGACAAGCAGCATTGTCATAGCGCCTTCTATGATTGTGGTGTTTGAGACGATCCTTTTTTCCAGATTCAGCCACCAATCTTTTGGAATCATAATATCTCGACTGACTGCCATTGATAGGTTCCCTTCGGCTTGGGAATGCTTTGAGACTGTACTAGCCCAGGCCAATCCATGATCATGGATCAGAACAGATCATGTGATCCTTCCTGATGTGATAGGCGGCTCACGCCGAGAGCAAAATGCAGGCCGAACATCCAGTGGCACAGTGGCAGCTCTTTGAGTGAAGAACTGGAGATCATCGGAGATCCATTCGTCCACCGACCTGTGGTCTTTGGTGTTGGTGCAAGATGGTGCAAGGATGTTTGAGCTTTTGCAGGGGCTAATAAATGCTAATAATGATCTTAATGATCTTTGTTGTTGGCACTTTGTGTCATGCTCCTACTCTTGGTCAAGTCAGGTAGAATTGGCAAATACCCGATATCCTAGCAGCTTTGCTGAACCGTGTGGAACCGGGTATTTCATGTTCTCAGAAGAACTGAGTTTGGGTATCAGAGCTACACACCTCTTTTGGTGCGTGTTGAAGACTCTTGCCCATGCGTGATCAAGATTTCTACTTTGGAGGGTTGAAGAATGGGCCAAGAAGGGAAGCTTGGTGAATGATGATGGATGAACTCCTCTCCTGCAACCGTGATTTGTTGAGTTCAAAAAATAGTCACACCATGTTCGAAGACTTACCCCGTCAACCTCCAACCACGATGCCAGGCTGAACGCCAACGAGCCAACCTTGAGGCACCGAGCCGCTTGAGTTCGGCGATCATGTGCGTCTCTTGCTTGGAGGTCTTTTTACAATTTCCGATCACAAACAGTCATCCTGTGCAAGAGTATTGGGATGATCGCACAGATTCGATCTTCCCATGGATCGTGAAAGAACTTAGCTCGGAAAACTGCCCATTTCATGTCGCTTTCAGTGACGGGGTGTGTCTTGGTTTTAAGATGTTCGAAGTTTGCTTGGTGTACGTTGATGCAGTTAGACCCTTGTATCTTTTTGGGGCATTTCCAGATACAGGCGTCGCTAACCTATTTGTTCCTGGTGAATGGACGCTTGTGTTTGCATGTTGCATCGTTTCCCCATGTTTCGCTCACTCTTCGCAGACGCTGGGCACAAACGCCTTGCGCGAGCAGATTGACAAGCTCCATGAGAGTTTGCCCGGGTCGTCCAGCTTGTGAACAGCCCATCCTGGCCAAAATGTGAACACCTATGAACTGATAGTTGGTTAAATCATGTTACTGTAAATCCAAAGAGCACCCTGGCTGACAACAATTGGTGAAATGTAGATATATGATACCGAAGATTGCCTGTTTCCTAAAGTGTGAGAAGCCATGACTTACAGCTTATATTCAGTTTGTTGAAGCCAGATCAGAGATGCGTTTAGAAGGTGAACGCATTAGTTACTAGTTTCTGAAGCTTTGTTAGCCTTCATCGATCTCAAAGTCAAGTACTATATAGCTATGTATATAGAATATTATATATATAAGTTATAGAAGTGATGAAAAATCATGTGTTTTCTTGTTTTTTGGATCGCTGCTTCCAGCTGCAACAATTCGCCGAGGAGGAAAGAAAAGGCCTCACCACCAAAGCCACAGGCGAAAGTGCATGTCACAGGGCATGTGATAGAAATTCTTTGATTTTTGGGGAGGAATCTGTCAAAGTATAAAGTCCATTGGAGTCTTGGGTGTTTTTTCTAGGTATGCGTAGCATAGTGTTGGAAAAAAAACACCTGCAAAAAACGAGGCTGCTGAACTGGCTTCATGGCTTCATGGATAGTCAAGGCTGAAAAAGCGCATATGAGTTGTCAAACACATTCGCGACACCCGCATAGCATTTCTTCGACATTCGCTGAAGAGATTTCTACGACACCATTTCAAGGGGCCGTTTCAAGGGGCCGTTCTGCGACACCCAACTGTGAGATCCAACAAAACCGCAATCCTTCCAATGCAAAACCGCTCGCACTGATGATAGAGGGGCGCGGTCATGTGATAGACCTGAGCAACATTTCGCACATTTAGAAGATCCACTCAACAAGATGCTAATTTCTGAAATGTCAATGCTGATGCGCACAATCTCTACTGAAATCACCCAGATCAGAGAGGTCCTGCTGGTCACATTTTGAGTGAGAACCATTTGCTGTTCGCAAGCTGATCCTGGGCTTTGAGGGTGGCCTCATGAGCTTGCTGGAGGAGGACCTCCGGAGGATCAAGCAGCAGGCGATCCTGAGCAGCTTGTGGTACATCGAAGAATCAAGAAAGTCAGGTGGTTTGTGATGGTCTATGAAAATTCAATCTTTTCTGTGTTGTCTTCCCTGGGATTTGCGACGTTATTCTTTGTAATGATTGGGAGTGTTAGAAGGCCATGGTGAAAACGGGCTGGTGAGGGTAGTTGGATGGTAGGTGAGGGAAGTCCAGGCCCCAATAGTTCCGCCATGCTAAAACACAACTGTTGAGATAGGTCAGATAGGTCTTCGTACGATTTAAGACGCCCCACTACTCTCAGAGTATACAGTGCTCTCAAGAGCTCAACTGGGCTCAAAAGAGATTGCTTGAATATTTGGTGGCTTTGGGATTTGCAGCATTGCATGTCATGTAGGCAGATATATGCCTCAGGATCCCAATTTTGAGTCATTAGTGTTGTAATTACTTCGATTCGTTACTCCAAAATGCCAAATCACAATGAATTCCATGTATATATATATGTAGTAATTGTTATCCTGTCGAATACCTTGCAGAATGAGTTTTGATGTATGGCAATTGTAGTGTGTTCACTTGTTGATGTACCTGGTATCGTTATCATATATATATAATCTTTAATGTTTCAATTTATGTTCACATTGAATTGACTGAGAAAAGGGGGACTATGCAAGAAGCTTCAATCACTTCCAGGTACCAGGTGATAGATAAGGAATCCAAACAATGCCTCATTACTCATTACAATTGCACTTCCATTCTCAAACCAAACCCCTTAGAAAAGAACGCCTTTGTACGAGTTATTTTTCAATATAATATAGAGAGGTGATTGGAGTACAATTTGTTTATTTCCTGTCACGTGTTGTACTGTGTTGTTGTTGTTGCTGTTGCCGTTGCCGTTGCCGTTGTTGTTGTTGTTCTTCTTCTTCTTCTTCTTCTTGTCGTGGTTGTTGTTGTTGTTGTTGTTGTTGTTTTAGAGCAAGTTTAGTTATTGTTGTGTTTATGTTTAATTACTAGCCAGTTTTAGGAACTATTTTTAGCGATACATTTTATAATTGCAGTTTTTTGCTGAGGACTTCACCCTGTATGATCCTGCTTTACAAATGCTTTTTGCGTGGCAATAGCTTTCTTTAGTTAGTTTGACTTTTGAATTATACAAGTGTTCCTTTGCAAAAGGTCTTCCTCTCAGCAAATTTAACATGACTGTTCATGGAAGACGCCTCGATGATGGCCAAATGCCATTGTGGAACGTTGTTCAACCCTACTGTGCGGGTTATTCAAATCAATGTCTTGCCCCGCTGTTAAAGTTGGTTTGACAATCACATTGGTCTCCCCCCCAAATGATGTGAATTCCCCCAGACATTGGTCTGATTTGTTGGTCTTTTTTTGATCAGACAGATGCTATTGCGTAAAGTGTTGTTCTTTTGGTCAGATGCTACTGACTGGAGATGCTTCAGATGTATATAAGTCAAATGCTTTTTGTTGAAACTTGAAACATTGCAAACAATCTCAGGTCACCTTTCCCCTTGTGTTGCTGTGTATTTTTCACACGCTTTGTGAACACAAACCATGTATATATATAATGTATACAGGTACCCCCTCCAGTTACAAGTGAGACCATTTAAACGATAACATGGTCCTGGTCACCTTCAAGAATTGGGTCTTGGGAAAAGTTCCTCATCAGCAAAGGTGTATTTATGAATGTACATCCCGGAGTTCTTGTGTTTTGTGAAGGTCACAAGTCATACTTGTTGTTTTGACCAAACATTTATGACAGAGGTGGCCGAAAAGGGCAGAACACAATAGCAGAGGCCTTTCATTGACGCAGCAGCACTTTCTGTTTCGATTGAAAGAATCAGAACCATGTTTTGCTCTGCTGCTGCTCCTGCTGTTTATTTGGCAGGGAAAGGATTGTCTCAGACAAGTGTCCTTTCAAGGATTTCGGTAGTAAAGATCTCGTCAGATAGATTTCGTCAAGGTATCATGGTGCCTCAGTTGTTCTGTAACACATCCTCAATTCCAGGCATCCAATGCGGAGCAGCAAGCTGAGGCTTGGGCTTGGGGCACTGAGAATACCTACTGTAGTGAACTAGTGACTAGGGCAGATAATTACCATCCAGCTATTCTAGAGAGTTTATACGGTTCCTACCAATTGGGATGATTCCGTGGGTTTGATGAATACGCTTAAACCTATTGTAGATAGATCTCCATTCTTCAGCATGTTGATCTACTGTGCACGACACATGGGGTGTCTCAAACTTATCAATACTGCAGCGTGAATTGCCTGGGCTCCAGTCCAGGATGACCCCTTTGCATCATAGAGTCGATGCTTTAGAAGCACCAACCAGAGCAGAGATGCACCCCGCTTGCATACCTGTCGGCTTTACATAAGGCACCAGGGATTAAACACTGAAGGGGGTCAGTTTGGACCACCCAAATATCACTGTCGATTTGTCAAGCAGATTGTTTGGACGGGAAGGTCTCATTTCTGCATGGGCTTTGTACCAGGATTGATCAACAAGGCATCTCGCCAAGGCCAGGCCAAGAAAGGTTGCAGATTGACGGTGAGGTTGGTCATAGTTATACAAGAGTTCAGACCAATGTTTGTCGGCAGAGTTTAGCAAGGAAACATATTCAATGCAATGCTTGTCATGTTTGACCTGCTTGGAGCTGGTTCCCTTCCCTGCTTGTCAAGTTTCCCTGTTTGCTCCGTGCCGCTGAGGAAAAGGCAAAAGAGCTCTTGCGGACCAAGCAGCAGCAGAGGGATGTTCAGGCACGGCACTTGCTGACGGTGCGCAACCAACAGAGTCCAGCAGCAGTGCGCTGTGGATTGGAATCTAAAGGCAGGCGGCAAGTGCACTCGGTGCCACACTGATCTAGCGGGATCTAGCGGGCCCTTCAAAAGGTATTGACTATATAGATGTGCATAGTCCCTGTGCATACATTCGGGTCTTGATCCCCTCCTGCCTTTCACACATATCCCAAAGCTTGTGTTTCCAGAAACACCGAGGGAACAAGAAAGAAGTATATGTTATAGTTATATTGATACATCCTTTTTCTTCGTGGAACCCCTCTGCTCGAGAATGCATTTTCAACACCTGTCCCCTCATTGGAAGAAATGTATGAACCCTCCTCCCTTTGCTATTATGTGACAATATAGTAACAAGGTTCGCTACTAGGAACAAGTGCATCGCTACTAGGAACAAGTGCATCGCTAGTAGTAACAGGTGCCTTACTAGTAGTAACAAGAAGCTACTAGACTTATTTGCTATTCATCAAACCTTTCTCGTTCTTTTGGAGGAGCGACATGCGTCACCTACCCGCTTCAACATCCCCAGCCCACACAAGTGACCGCATGTCGGTCAGCGGTTCCAGGGCAAAAAGATTGCCTCAGCTTAAGCCAACATGAACCCGGAAAATGGAACCCAACAGAAGGACAAACATGGGACCGTGCAAGACAATTTTCCTCTACGAACCGTTCTTTTTCCCGGGGGACAGAAGCCTCCCAATGATCCACTGGATAGAGGATGAGATTGTGCCGAGCCAACATAGGTCCAAGCTGAAGAAGAAGCCATTCAGGTGGCGACCCAGATGTCGTCATTACATTGCAGATCATTACAGTACACTGGTTATTTGCCACATTGACGATACAATGGACTAGTGACTATGTTGGATGAATGTATTTCATTGTATTTTGTTTGTTGGAAGCTTAGTTGCCAATCTCAAGGTTGGGAGATGACAGCTTGTGGTGTGTAGCGCAGAAAGTATTTGCCCAGCCGGTTCAAGGGCTTTGCCACGCTTGGGTTGCCGATGACATGGTTCATGGTGAGAGTTTCAAAGGTCAACAGATGAGTGAAGGGTGTGTGCCCTTCTCCCAAGGACGTTTGTCGTCCAATAACCACCGTTAAGGTTTGCCACTCATGTAACATGTAGGTGTGTTTCAACAAAGGCCGCTTCCCCACTAGCAAATCCACTACGCCAGATGGCCCGAGGTGAAAGCTAAGATCCAAGAGATTTGGCGACACCTTGCTGTTCGGAGCCTGGTGGAATCACTCCAGGAGGGAACATGTCTAGCATGTCCATGTTCAAGTGAAGGAAAGTGTAAATCACATCAAATCACACCTCAAAAGTACCTTATAGTTGTTATCTTCATGAATCTTCATGTTTGATTGCTTCCTGTGCCAGCCAGTTGTTGCGAATACGCTAGTTTGCGCGCTGTTGGAGAATCTACGTTTCGGATTTGACACGTACCGCTTTCCAACAAAATCATCAACGCTGAAAGAATGGAAGTCTTTTGGAGCAAATCGCAAGTCGTAGAGAGTTTTCTTTAATCCACAACACAGCGTATGCTCGTGGGAGTGCAAATAGTGTGGCCTTTGGTCTTTGCGATTCGTGCTCAGATTGAGCATTCAGGATCAGTGAAGCCGTGTCCAACTGTGAGAGTTGTGTGTTTCATCGCCCATCACACTCACCGAGCTCCAAGATCTCCGAGGGTTAATTGGAAGCCCTCAATATGCTGTGACCAATATACCCGACCCGACCTTTCATGTCGTTTGAGCTTGTTGCCGGCAACGATCCCAAACGCCACAGTGCAAGACCTCCTAACTGGCAATCGCCTACTCGCGGATGCCAAACAACATCAAACATTCCGATGTCCATATCAAGATATAAACCAATCCCCTTAGACCAGATCCGATTCCGTTCAAACGCCTTCGCCACCTGATAAGGCCCATTCCCAGAAGGGTTGTATCATCGAGTCTCATCACATTGAGCACGTTCAACCGGCACCCATCTTTCCCATGACAGAGTGGAAACAAGAGGAGTGGGCCGCGCTGAAGAGGACTGGGCGACTGGTGTGGAGTAAACATGCACAATATAGACTTAGACATTGCATTATATACGTCTAGGCACAAACTCACACATACATGTACAGAATGCCTGCAAAATCTATGTGCTTGCCACGGCTGAGGCTGGATGAACTTTGAGATCTTTGAGAAAGCTCGCTGTCCGGCTTTGCCAGTGCTGAAAATGGCCAAACATGTGGCTGGTCCAAACCAAACTCAAACAATCTGAAGCACAAACGTCTCGAAGAGATTCGAAGAGCACAATTCCGATCATTTTGTTCAGTCGCATGTGTACTGATGTCCAGGCAGTTGATCCGCCGCATCACTGTGCAGAAGGAAGCTCTTCGGTTGGGTGAAAGATTCGGTTGGAACTGAGATCGGTCGGGGAGAACAAACCCCTGCCATGCGTCCGATGCTTGCCAGGTGAATGACATACCTCCCACGTAGGCCTTGTACACTCAAATCCTTGTTCCTAATAGCTTCTTGTTACTACTAGTAAGGCACCTGTTACTACTAGCGTGGCACTTGTTACTAGTAGCTTCCTCATCATAGTATCGTTTTGGAACGGAGTAGATGCAGCCGTTTTGTCCCAAGCTGGATTCGGCATATTTCAGCCAACTTTGCATGGCAAAGAATGAGTCAAGCCAGGAATGCACCGCCAGATTCTGTTTGCCCTTTCTATGAAGCTGCGCGGGCATGCCACCCACACACCTCATAGACCGAATGTGTTGAACTTGCCCCTCACAAATTGGCAAGGAACAACTAGCACGTCATAATATAGTCATAAACTATCATCGACATGGTTGAGTTGTCCCCACTCAGGGTCACTAGCTCTTTCAATCAGACGGAGACGCAGTGGTTGGATTGACCCTCCCAACCAGCCACTTATCTAACAAACCAACTCAAATCAAGCTCGGTAGGTAAGACCTTGGCAGAGGCCACCAAGCCGTTGCAAGCCTTGATTTCCTTCGCTTTACAATCCTATATATACATATCAACAAGCCATCCCCAACTGACCCGGGACCCGGGTCTTGTAGATACTCAAGACTCAAGACAGACTTCTAGTCAGGAAGGAAAGTCCTTCGCACCCCATGGCGGCACGACCAAGCGTTGGAAAGCGGCTTTCGTCAACGCCAAGGCCAGAATCCACAGGTCAAATCGCAGGGATTGTTATGGCCACAGGTCTATTTGAGATTTTGCAATGATTTGCATATTATTTTTCCAGGTTGTGCTGCCTCCAAGAGACTTCTGGGAGGGCGTTCATCCAGAAAGGTTGCTTCCACTTCCTAATAAAAAGTAGTTCTGTTATGCTTGCAGAGACGATTCGGACTTTGCAAGGAAGACTCAAAATGACCGTATCATCACATGTGCTGGTCATGTAAACCATAATTACATGTCAACATGTCATGGACATGGCAGCCATACATGCAGACAGTCACCATTCATGCCTCCGAGTGAGGCCTGGCAGTGCAAAGCATCCGCGTTTTGGCGCCGTCCCGACGCCCTCGCCCTCCGTCCGCTTCCGGTCTGCCTCCACGGTGCCCACGCCGCGACCAGCGAAGCCCACGGCCGTGAGACCGGCCGCTGCATGTGGCTGGCCACCTCCAGAACTACAGGAAACACCACTCACACCACTCGAAACAGCCATTCCGCCGGAGCCAGCGAAAGTGAAAGTCCCGGTGCCGGAGCCTGCAGTTCCACCAAGAGTGCCAGCCGCAGTTCCAGCAACTTGGTGCGCAATGAGTGCCATTGGATCAGCCATTTGGTTTGTGTTTTGTTATGACATGTTATTACTCCTTTGGTCTAGTATTGAGTTGATTGTGGTCGTCGCTGTCGTTGCTGTGAGTGTTCTTGTTCTTGAACAGTTTAGCTGGTGGTGTATGTTCTAAGTCCATACACTGAAAATAAGCAACAACATGTTTGTGTTCTATTTCTAACTGTATTATAAGATGATAACTACGTGTCGTCGTCCATTTGTTGGTCCATTCGTATACCTTCCTGCAGTAGTATTGTTGCTGCAAATCAATATCAGCAGGAGCAGCAATGTTGGATTCACGATTCTGCGTATGTTCAGTGGAATCATTTGCCCAACTTCATGTCACTGAATGTCTGGGTGTTTCACGGTTTTTCTAGAGTTTTTTAGTTTGCCATCAGATCAAAATGGCTTGACCTCAGGTATCCCGGAAAGCACAGGAGCGGCATGGGCTGGGTATAAAGGGGGCTCCGTGGCGATGGACTACAACCCCTTTTGATCCCTTTTGGACCTTTTCGTTAGTGTTACTCTAGTGACTCTAGTGGAGGGTGGTTTCTAGGTTGGAACCGACCTGGATTCGCTCACAGTAGCAGCTGGCTCGCACAAGTTATATCACAATAGAAATAATACATGTTGTAAATTCTCTATATTTATCCAGTTGTTCAAATTGCAGACTTAAAGAGACCACGAAAGCTGCGGGATTGATCTTTGTCGTTTGACTCTACCTTCGGTGCAGGAGAAGCTGACCGTCTACACTGAAGGCCATTGCACAGAAAGCAGTGTCCCCCATGCGATGGGCCAACAAAACATATTTATACCTCCACTTAAAGCCACTTTGTGTCAAGTCTGCATTGGAAGAATCTAGCAAAACCACACATTCGGGTGTCCGTCCAATGGAGGCTTAGTCTAGAATGCCCATGTGACCCACGTGGATGGTCAAGATGGTCCGGAGCCTTTTGGTCCGAGATGTCCGCAAGCAGCTAAAGTCAGCTAGAGACACCATTGTGATTCCGTGATTTGCAAAAGAGATAGAGAGAATGATCACGAACACTTACAGATGCGGGATGGTGTGTGTGTGTGTCATTGACAACCGTGCTCACTTCCATAGTGCAGTCAGTAGCTCAAGGTAAAACTCTGGAGTACATCAAATGTGATTGGACTTCATTTGTGGTGGAGACATGCCAGATCTTAAGCCCATCAACAAGGCGTTGTTTCATGGAACCCCACACTCAGGAGCAGCATCAGAAACAAACATCGGGATCGGCTTCAGTGTTCCAACTGTTCAGGAGTTGTGGGAATCCTCCAGTGTGTTGGATTCGGACAATGGAAAACCATGGAAAACCCAGAAAATGAGTTTCCCCCATGTGGCACCCCACGATTGTCCACACTTCACCGGCTGACATGAGTGTCCTGCACAGGTTCCGGTGAGTTCGGGAAAGCCGTGCCTGGGCAGCCTGAGGTTTCATGCGTCTTGTGAAAGAAACTATGCATTGTGTCCACTGTTTGTTATTTTGTGCAATGATGCTTTGCCCACTACATTCATGCACAAATTCTAGAATCAATCTGACTATATACTGGGTGATACCAACAGGTCATAAGTCATACAGGCATATTTGATTTGCTGAAATATTTAACTTTAGCCTATGTTTGGCGTACGTACCTGACACGTTGGTCAACAGGCAAAAGCACCCTCCACCACCTCCATCGTCAACAACCCCCTTGGAAGCTGTTCCACGGTTCCAATCCTTCCAATTCCGCATGTGCCTTACGAGCCTTACGCGTATTTGTTTATGCAGATGCTTTACATGTAAATGTGTCGAGTTTGTTTTAATGCTTGACCAGACCCAATTTTGGTGGGTTTACTGTTTGACACTTTAACAAACATGATTGATAGTGAAGTGACACTCAATAAATGCACTATCTCGATCTCTATATATACATATACATGCAGACATCGTTGACACCATGTTTAGCAAATGTTAACCTAAGCCTAAGCTGTTTTCACCCGGCTTCATCCAGGTGAAAGCCATCTCTGGTACCTACGTTGAGAACGGCACAGCTTGTGGGCGGAAAACCTATGAGAAGGAGGGCAATGAGGAAGGGCTGCGCGAAAAGCGAGAAATACTTATTCACCTGCCAAGGCATTTTGATTTGATGTGTACAGGCGATCTATGGCAGAAAATATCATCATACTGTACTGCCGTCTAGTTTCAAGCACAAATTCAATGGACTTTTTGTCACATGCTGCATCAATTTCAATCACATCTGAATGCGTGTCATGCATCGGAGGCTTAGGGATCCAAAAGACCCCGCCCTTTCCTCCTTTGCAGGGTGACTTTCGTAACCAGCCGGAAAAGGTTGCGAACAACGTGTTTGACGTCTCCCAAAGAGGAACAATTCCGGCAATTTGTTGGGTAGGTTGCAACTTCACAGTGCCCACAGACCAATTTACAGCACGAGAAAGACTTGAATCATAGTCCCAGTGGAAAAGGAGCCAGAGCTTCATGACTCCCTGTCATGTTGTGATTCCATTTGAGCCAAGTGCCCAAGACACGTTGGCAGGATTCCAAGGTGATCATCTATTATTGGGACGATCGAGATGGTCCTGATTTCCAGGCGGGTGTGACTACTTTCACTCTTTCCTATGTTTCATCACAGACAATGTGTTTCTCACAGCCTAACCATTGCAGCCATTGCAGCTTCATGCTCACTTAGCGGCCTGAGGAGCCTTGGCATTCAAGTCCAGTGTGACCCGCTTGTTTGAAATCTTGGAGGTTGCCTCAATCACCACCCGTACACCACATGGCAGGTGAGACTTGAAATTGAACAGGTCACTACAGGTATAGATCCCTCATTTTCAGCAAAAGAATGGAAGCTACGCCAGTGAGTGACCTTCAGGAGTTAGAGGGTGCAGAGAATTCAATAGCGGAGCACAGGGAACTCTTTCCACACAAAAACCGACTGTGAACGGGAATCACTCAGCTTCAAGCCATCTTTGCGTTTGTTCCAACTGTTCAATTGCGACCAAAAACCGGATATGCAGCCCTGTGAAGCCTTGCACTGACTCGTCAGGGATGGTGGTTTGGCAACACATTGGCTGGACCACAAGCATTTTGGAATGAACTGGTTTGCTCGGTTTGTTCTTTGTATGCGAGTCCGAGTATGGTGTGTCAGATGCTTGAAAGATGCGTGTCAGGTTGGTTTCTCCAGAGTAAGTGTCCAAGAACAGTTCGTCTTCGGATCATCAAGTTATTTTGGTCACAGCCACAGCTCCCCAGCCACTTGCATTAGCATCCTATGGCAGAAGTGCGACGCAAGTACATACTCAATTCATCTCAATTCTCAGACCAAGGGTGATGAGATGTACCATCCTGTAAAACG